TTCAATTTTTAGTATCGCGTTATTCGTATTTCTTCATAACTCGTTTCGATTCTGTATATAATTTATATATACATATACACACATGCATACATATGGGATATTAAGTCGCTTTTTTTTTCGTATTAATTTTCATTTACTATTCGGTACTCTTATCCATTGTTATTATTCATATAACATTTTTTTTTTCTGCAGATTTACTTTGGTGAAATATTTTCCATTTATATTCCTATTAGCAAGTCAATAAAGCAAATTTTATTTTCTTCATATCTTATTTTACTTTTTTAATGAGGACCTATCAGCTGTTACAATTTATAAGCCTAACATATCTCATATTAGTTTTATTATTTATGATAAAAACACATGGTTTACACTTATGTAACTAACACACAGGGATTATTTTTAACCTTTCTAATAATAGTGGTATCCCAGCATGGCAGTAGTAATAGTAGTATATTACTATGCTAGGAAACGCTAGTATTTCATAGCGAGATAGGACCGCATTAAAATTTCATTTAGAAAGTACGTTATGGGATTGAGATGCTCATTCGAGTTAAAGCTTTGGTGTGTTTTTTATCGTAATTTACATTTTTAGCAGTTTCTTAGGTTCTCAATTGTTGGTGGTATGAGATAAGTTAGATTTACCAATTTTAGCACATGATTACTTAATATTACTTATTATTTGGTAATATATGACCATTAGTAGGAAGTCGTAACTCAAGTAATTTGATTCTAACCATTGATAATTTGACAAATGACTGAGATATAAAGGACGAATTGATATTAATTGCTTCTTCTGGGAAATTATTTATATTCAGCAATTAGCTAATTATATCACTGTAAGGTAATACATCAGCAGAAGTATAAATCGTAAAGTAACAAATGAACTGTACCTGATCGGTGTATTTTTGCATTTCATAAAGTTATTTGTTTATTTCTGTTCGTTTCATTTGAAAATCTTTTCGTTGCATGCTTATCGAGGGCTTGAATTGCTATCATGTATTTTTATCTGTTGCAATAATGTCAGGGGTAGTAGGTGAAATTTTTGGAAAATCATCAAAGATGTTGATGCCAACAAAAAATCGGAAAGCTATTTATGAGTATTTGTTCAAAGAAGGTGTATGTGTGGCTAAGAAAGATTATAATTTAAAAACACACCCGAATATACCAAATGTAACCAATTTGGAAGTGATAAAAGCTTGCAAGGTGAGTTATTTTTACTATTTTGATATTTTTCCATTTATGTACAGTAGTTTTTTTTTTTTTTTTTTTTTTAAATTAACATAGCAACTTGATGCACTGTGGAAGGTTTGGGCAACGTATTTGTTTCGGGTAACATTGGCATGTATTGTAATATATAACAATATGGAAATGTTCATATATGGAGGGTTGTATGTGTAAAGTAGAAAAAAAACGAAGGATATGGATTTGATTTCTTCCATGGTGAAAAAATATGTTAATCGAAGTTTTGAACTGCAGAGTCTTGCTTCACGGGAATACGTGAAAGAACAATTTGCTTGGCGGCATCATTATTGGTATTTAACGAATGAAGGTATCGATTATTTGCGAGAATATCTTCATTTGCCAGCTGAAATTGTTCCATCTACTGTCAAGGCCAAACAGCGAGAACCAAGACTTGGTTTCGAGCGTATGCCCCGAGGTAATCTTAATTTAGCTTCAAAATTTGGTTACTTGTGAATCTTTTGTTTTCTTAGTTCAAGTGTGGCTAGTTAGAGTTTTTGGCTCCTTGATTTAATGCTTACTAAATTCTGGTCTTTCTACGGAGTAGATTTATTTTCAGGACCGAAAGTAGAAAGCGATAGAGATGCATATCGAACAGCTGAGAAAGTAACCGAAGCAGGTCCAGGTGCAGCACCAGTATCAGGTTATCGGGGTGGATATGGCCGGGGTGCAGGAGCCCTGCAATAAGACTGTATACAAAAAATGATAATGATTGGAAATGTTGTTTTTTGTTGTTATTACTGAATAAATGACTCGAGTAGATGTAATTTTGTAATACACCAGCAGAAGTATGAACCGTATTGCTGCGTCATTATTTCAGATTTAGCATTTAAGTAATGGGATGATAATATGACATATGTAGAAATATAAATTTAAATTTCGGTTTTTTGTTGGTTGTTGCTGTTGATTTGAAGTCGTTATGTTGGTAAAAGATTACGAATGAACTAAAAAAGAATGGTTGGTTATTGAGGAAATGGAAAAGAATATGGAAGATGGCATTTGATTTATTTGTATTTAGTGAGCTGAGTCGGAGGGGTTGTATTTTGCAGCAGTGATGGATGTTCCTGGTCCGTCACTTTCGGGTCGCGAGAAACATCATCTGGAAACGTCAGATGCGTCATCACTTTTCTTGCTTAAAGGTGAGTTGTATCGGAAAATCGATGAGCAACGTCGAAAAGCTGCTACAGCTACGGTGAAAGCTTCCAACAGGAAGGTATGTAACATTTTCATGTAGCTGTTTTCCGAAATATAAATTTGGATGGTTTATCTTGTTAGTGAGGTGCTGAATATTAGAATCACTTCTTTCCCGATGATATTTACTGCAGAGAATTTGGTAATCAAGCATTTCGCTGGAGATTTGAAAAATCGCAGTAATTTAAACAGCATTATAAAGAATTTCTATACTGGATTTTCCTGTAGAGTGTTTTGCGAATCAGCAAAGAAGAAGAGAAAAAACTTGCGGAGGAGAAACGCCAACGAGAAGCACGTATCCGTGAACTAGAAAAGTCAATAGCACATGATGAAGAACAGAGGAAGCGTGTGCAAAAGATACTAGAAGAGAAAAGTGAAATTTATTCTCGCTTAAGTCGAGGCGAAGCAGTTTTAACTGGTTCGTTTGGTTATTTTTTAGAAGCAGCATTTTTTTTTTTTTTTTTTGGAAGCACTGAAAACGTAACAAATAATAAAATGTAACAGCGAAAGTGTAGTTTCTTTTCTCTACTTGTATGTGATTTCGTAAAACACATGAGCAAGTAATTTAGGAATGATTGGGACATGTACATGAAAAAGTTTTTTTTTTTTTTCAATTTGCATAATTATTTTTAATTTTGAATAAGCATTAAGTGGTACAATAGAATGAGTTGTTTGAGAAAAGTCGATAAATAATACATTAAAAGATTCGTTTAATAGCTGGTGTAGAAGTGATAGACTGGAATGTTTAGTTTTGTGTTTTATTAAGTGGAAACAAGTCATTTTTTGCTTTTATTGGTAACTACGTCTTTTGAGAGAAAAAGAATGAATTAAAAGCAAATCAAATTATTCTTGTATTTCAGATGACAATGAACCAGTGGAATTTCTGGTAGATTTCAATGCAAAGAAGCGTGAGCAAGAAGAGCAACGTTTGAATGATGCTGAAAAAGCAAAAAATGAAGAAAGTGAAGCTGTACACTTCAATCCAAACGAAGGTATTATAATTGATCAAAGTCGTTTTCATTTTAATTTTCAGATATAAAAACTAGTCAATTTGAGTAGTAATACTTCTTGATCGATTTTATTTTTACCGGCTGATCACTAAACTGTCCATCATTTCTTATAGTTAGGTCTTATTTTTACAATATTTCTGAGCATTTTTATTTTTGATTAAAAAAAAAAAAAACTATTTTTTCAAATAGTTTATAAATAAATTTAGAACAGCGAGTTTACGGTGTTTCTCATGTTCCGCTTCCGGTCATTGAAAGTAAAAGGAAAGAACAAATACAAGAATTACTGGAACTGAGTAAGGTAAGAAATCTAAAATAAATAACACAGTCTAGGATTTTCTTTTCAGTTGCATTTTTCTATACCCATTTTTCGGTGGTGATTTCTCATCTTTAGAAAACTGAAGTTAATCGAGCGAAAAGAAAACATTTACTTGAAGAACGTGAAAAGAAGAAGTGGGAACAGTTGAATAGAATACGGAAGCGAAAAGGTTTGGAAGAATTACCCGCATGGAACTCGGAAGGTAAATATTATTTAGTGATTTTAAGTCTTAGTAGTATACCATGTAGTGGAAGATAATTCTTTAACTGTAAATCGAAAAGGATTCATGTTTTTCACTCCGTGATGAATATTACATAGAAATTTCAGTTATACTTGTTTCCACTTTATTGCTTTCCTTGTTAACTTATTTCTTTATTTCAGGAGATAATGAAGCGAATTTTCTTGACATTCCACTTCCTGATCAACTGCCAAAAGCTGAAACGGTGCAACCAGAACCAAAAAAATTCACCCCTGTTCGCGAGTGGGATCGTGGAAAAGGTATATTTTTTAACTGAGGAGAGGATCATCAGTATAAATATCCCTACTGTCATGTCTTTTGATATTAGTGAGAAAATGACGCACATATTAAATTATTTGTATTTCAGTGCTTTATGATAGATGGATCACAAAACAGCGTGATGAACGTGATGATGAATTTGCACCACCTTCAAGCTACTTTAGATAATTCATAATTGAACTATTTCTTAGGCATTTCAAATTTTTAATTTTATGTATATAAGTCTTAATAAAGGTATTTGACAAAGTTTTCTCATCTTCTGATAAATGTTATTTCATTCAGTATCAATATTCGTTTATATAATCAGTGTATAGTGTATATTTGAATTTATTAAATGCATTAGATGACTGAAATGTTACTGTAGAAAAATGAAATTCATAAAATAATTTGTGGAAGTCACTGGTAGATTTATATCTTTAAACATTAGGTTTGGAATGAAATATATGACTGAGTAAGGTTATCTTTTATAAGAAATCATGTTCTACCTTCAAACTATGATAAGTAATTCTCGTGATAAATTGAATTGAATATAATATATCGTGGATAGCTTGGACGATTACTTGAATTGAACAGTTTGACACATAGCATTTCATAACTGTTTCAAAACATTTTTGTTTGTATTACAAATATACTGCTCGAGATCTTTGTAGTTGAAGTCTTTTTGCATTATTGATAGATTCGACTAAATACAAAGGGAAGTACTTAGATCTTTTCTGATTGTTTCAGAATGAATTTTAATCCAAACTTTGAAGAAATAGGAAATGCATTCATCCAACATTATTATTCGAAATTCGATGTGCAAGATCCTGCAGCACGAAGTTCAGGTCTAAGCGATCTTTACGATCCAATGAATTCCTACATGACATTTGAGGGTGTACAAGTAAAGGGACGGGATTCTATTTTGCAGAAATTTGCTGTAAGTACTTTTCTTGCAGAGTAGGATTACCAATTTCTCAACAGGAAAGTGTTATAGGCTAACGAGAAAATTATGTTTCTATTAATCAGCTTATTGTCTAACGATTTCTAGGATATTTACAACCTCATAGAATTGAAGAATTGAATATCACTTTACCTCTTTATTCTTGATATATATACTCTAACAACATTCATTTTTCTTTCAGGCCTTGCCGTTTAGGATGATACAACGAGCAATAACTAAAACAGATTGTCAACCACTACCAGACGGGTCTATACTTGTTGCAGTTATTGGACAGCTTAAGGTTGTCTCTTTTTCTTTCTAAATTTCGACTTTTGATTTAAAGGAATTATGCCGGTAGGGAACTATAATACTGGGCATAAATAAACCTTGCAAATAAAATGGTCTGATTTTGTATTGCATCATTCAAGTCCTGAAATTTATTTTTCTGTATAAATTTATTAAATTTTTTGAGATTAATTAGTTTGCAGCTTGAATCTTATTATTGAGAGAAAAGTTTTCTTATCAAAAAATGATTTAAATGTTTCATCACGGAATAATAATTGCACCATTTTTCCTTTTTTTTCTTTTTTTTCATTATTGAAGTAGACATGGAACGAAACATACTGCAAAAACGCGTTAATATTTATGTTAGGTTTTATAAAACAGAAAGCCTAGTTGCTGTTTGACATCTTAATTAATAAGAATAACGGGTTTTTGTGAAATTATTAGGTCATATAAGTGGTTATCTGGATGAGTAATTTTATGCACTATTTTATTGTCTGAAAATATTTTCAAGGTTTGTATCGAAAAAAGCGATTTCAATAATTTTTTTTTCCAGACGGATGATGATCCAATTCAGTCGTTCAATCACTTTTTCGTACTTCGTCCTGCAACCGGTTCATTTTTCATCTCAAATGAAATCTTCCGTTTAGTATTACACGATCACTGACAACAGTATGATATGCCATTATTGCTTTCTCTCTCACTTTTTCGTTTTTCCCTTGACATAGTTTAATATTTTTGTTGTTTTCATCAACTTACATTGAAGTAAAAAGAGTAAAATGCTGCCTATCAATGATATTTATTTAAATTGAATGTTTTTTATCATTTTAAATATTACATTCTTTGTGTCCTTTATTTGACTGAATTCATAGTTGGTTTAAATTGAATTAGGTTTATGAATGAAGTTTTGGATATGTGTTACATTGATTTTATGCTAGAACCTAATTATTTTTTTTATTCTCAAAAATAATATAAGATTTTGAATACCTAAAAATCTTTTTCTTATCCATTAATGGATGGTTACCTTTGATCTCGCTCAACGCTGATAAGAATAAATGATATGCTTGACCTCCATCTATGCCAAATTTTGATAGCCATTTCATATCCCCTACTCCTTTTTGCATCTTTTGATAGCTGCATATTTGTTTCATGACGCAATTAATTATTTCTTGTTGCATTATCTTCCAACTTTGAAATATTTTCTTAATGAGACTTTGTGCTCAATTTTTTTAACACTCTTTTTTTTATTCTTTTGACTTTTCGAAGAGAAAAATATTCCTTCGTTTTGTTAGTGTTACAATGTGTGTTGTATGTTGATATCAGTAAATGTATTTGTATAACAAAATGATAGCATTTGCTTTTATTATTTCTTATAATATTCGAATGATAACCTATTTTATTTCTTAAGCTTCGTTCGAAATTTTGTTTAAAGCGTATGAAAGTATTTGATCACCATTAACAATTACGTTTAAGTTTATGGTATTAAATTAATCTACGTAACAATTTTTATACTCTTCCAAATATTTCAATATGGTCGTATTTGCTTCAAATTTTTTCAAATTAAAATTAAGAGAGCCAGAATATATTTCAATTTAATTACGTTTTATATTGCATTAATCATACAAATTAAATCTCTATTAAATGATGCGAAAAGAGTGTTCTTAGATTAATCTTTTACTGAATAATATGGTTATTATCATAACTGTAGTCAAGTACATTAGGAACAATCCTGATGAAAATGATTTTCATCGAATCTTAATGATATTAAAAGAAATAAATTAAGCATTCATTTATTTCTAGTGGGATTTATTATATTGATGGAAGCAATATAATGCTTGAATAGTGATGAATATAAGTGGGAAATCGGGTAAAGCTGCGACGCGTGGCCAAAAGCAAATTTATGAAGAGAATCAAACTGTGATATTACATTACTCAACTGCTTCCATATTTTCTTCGGTAAGCATATTTCATTTAAATTTTATACAATAATTGACTAATATTTAATGTGTAGTAAAATCTAACATACATTATACATGTAGTAAAAACAAAAAATACCAGTATATATTCTAAAAGAAGTTTCATTTTATTATAAGCATTTAATCTATTTGTTTGCTGAATGCCTATGGATGATTTGAATTGCTTGGTCTTCGTTGAAAAGACTTTGTTGGATTTACTTGAATGATACTGGACAGATGTTATCATATCTCTTCGATAGAATTGTTAGTGTGTTTAAATCAAAATTTATCAGCATTTCATAAAAAATTATTTCCATTGAGAATTTTTATATTTTAACTTTTTAAATTTTACATTTTATTTTTTCTCATCATATAGCAGTAGTATTCAGTTCTTGTAACAAATAAGCATTTGTCATTTTCTATAACAGATTATGTAATTATCATTCAGAACGATTTCAATATTTTAAAACTACATTTTCCAGGTTTTTTACATACTGATTTCGGTATTTTTCTTTCAACGAACAACATGGGAATGGGTACATTGTTTAATTACTTTTTATATGAGTAAATAAGTAACATAACTTTATTACTATCTTCAAAGTCTTACTAAATGTAGCTGCTTTTTACACAATTGTCTATTATTATCAAACCTTACTTATACATTTGATCATAATATATGCGAATTTTATGCCAATCAATAAATCCCTTCTTTTTTTTCTCCTTCCTCTCTCTCTCTCTCTCTCTCTCCTTTTGCAAAATTGTGATAATTTTCAAAGATAAAATGAAAAACTATTTTTGGTATTGGAAAGTTCGGATTTGATAATTTTGCATTTAATATTATTTTATAAATAATTGCTATAGTTGATGATTTTAAATTTAATATTGTTCTAGGAAATAGTTATTACGAATTATCAATATTTTTACAGCTTGGTTTCTCTATTTGCTGTATGCTTGAAGTGGCAGCCATTCTAACTATGCGTTCTATGGCACGATGTCATCGTAATGAAAAAGGCCAAGTAACAGATGCTGGCTCAGATCTTAATCAGCCAGATGCTTTTGGAGAGTTAGTATTTTGCAAATTTTTGATCACTGATAGTGAACATTTTGCATAATGTTTTTGTCTACATTTAAATCATATATAACTTTAATACTTTTACTCATAAGTGAATAAATGATTGAGAGGGAGGAAGATAAAATTCTTCAAAACTTTTGTTTGACTTTAATTTAAAAATTTTGAGCCTACAAAAAATAATTATATTAATATTACTTCAGGTACTGTAAAGATGTGGTAATTTTATGCTCATTTGTTGCAATAATAGCTACAATTTGGTCGATGATTTTATGGCTCTTATTGTTAATTCCAGCTTATGTATTTTATAAACTGTGGAAAGTGATCATTGCACCATGGTTTTTCGCTGAACCATTAGAACAAGATGAAGAAAAGAAAATAAAGAAACGTGAGAGGAGACTTCGCAAAACATGAAATTATCTCCCTATTAAATATTAAATATTATGATTGTATATTGTTGATTTTTTTGGGAAGAAATATTATAGGTTATTAAATTTATTTCACTAATAAAAGTAGGTATTTGTGATTTATAATAATAGTAATGTAAGAAAAAACTCACTAATGATTTGATTTTATTTTTTACAAAAAAAAAAAAAAAAAACACTTTTTAATGCAAAACATTTCCATCTAAATTCTTCATGTATTTAAAAGTGTGCTTTACAGTCATTTTGAATTTTTTTTTTGGAATTTTATGGATTTTGTATTCTTTCTATTTGTCAAGTATTTTTCGGAATTTATTTTTCTTTTTGCAATTCGTTATCAGCAAATATTATGCGAACTATTTTCAATATTGTTCGCTGAATAAAAATTGAAATTTTCAAATGTCGATGAAAGCATTTCCGCTAAGAATATGAATTCTTTATCATTTATCGTTGCTTATCAATTATCAGTTTTCAATAGATTCCATTTCTTTTTCAATGGTTTAAAACTTGTCGAAAATGTTAATGCTTTCTTCCTATTATTGCAATGTTCATTTTAAAATTGATAAGTGCTTTCATAGTGTTTGTGATAGAAATTATGAAAATAAAATTAAATATTCTTGTCTTCATTTCATTTTTTTTTTCCTGCATTTACATGGGATACGTTGTTAGTAGAATATTTATACTTTTTAGATCAAATTTCTAAAATATCTTTTCGTTCTGCTTCTTCTACATCTTCTGGTTGCTCTTAATCTTACACTACAATTAGTCTTTGATGCAAATGAAATCACAGCAGAGGTTCTTGCCATATTAATTGATTATTCTTATGCATAATAGAAGTGTATCATAATTAAACAATAAATTGGGCATTTTTCTTTTTGAAGTTGAGAAACTAATACTCGAAATTAAAGTTAATATAGTAAGTGAGATGAATGAATTATTTTTTCTAAGTAGGTTAAATTTAATCAGATTTGATAAGAATTTTGAAGTTAATTTATATTTTATATATATGCATATTTTTTTAAAGGATGGATATATATGGTAGCTATCCATCACGCTTATCAATTGCCTGTTCTGAGTTGCTACCTCGAATTCAAAATCAAAGCTATACTTTGGATGTATATTTTTTGCAATCAGTTGTTGATCGTATTTTCAACGATTCACAAATTGATCTTTTATCTGTTTTATCACAATCAGGTATGAATGATGCTGGAAATGAATATGACCAAGTAATCGAATTGATTGGTATAAATTCGGTTGTATTTAAGGTAAGATTCTTTTTTTTTAAATCATCTCTTATTCTATCTCTAATATACTTATACTTAATATTGACAGTTGAGTTAATATCTGACTAAAAGATATTTTATATTGCAGCAATTAAGATTACTGTTTCGTTGGTGCAATACTAAGCTGTAATTATATTTATAGATTAGATTGAGCTAAAAAATATAAATGGATTAGAAGGCATACATTTTCATGTTTCAGCTTTTATTGGAATCAAAAAGTGATTTTTTCAAATACTTTATGACTTCGTTTTGTCGACATTTGGAACGTAGTTCGTGTATATTACCACTGAAAATTGTTCAAGATAGTGTCTATATGAGACTTCTCTCCGATTATGTTTGTTTTATGATGCCAGTTAATGAGGAAAACACAAGTGCTGTAACAGGAAAGAAAATTCATCCTGAAAATACAATGAAAAGTAGTTATAGTACACCGTTAAATCTCTTTAAAGAGGTATAATTTCAACTTTAATTAGACTATTATCATAAAAACTATATACAATCATTTGCTATCATTGGGACAAGAAGTAATGACAGAAATGCATAGCAAGTGTAACTTTCCATTATTTGGTTTTTAATAGCTTAATAATAATCTAAGAGTTGCAATTTGTTTCATTTTAATATTAATCATCAATTTATATTTATTATTAATTTTATTGTTACAGGAAGCTTTAAGGCGATATGCACTATGTCCTTCATCACATTCCATTCGAACATTACGAACTATGATTCAGTCTATTTCACCACACTTTTTAACATTCATATATATTCTTGTTCGTTCATACTGCTCACTATCAAATTGGCCAACTGATTATCGTTTGATCGCTCTAAGGTTAGCAATGATTATATTTGATCAGAAAGTTTCATCACTAAAAAAAAATCTGGATTTCAAATTTTGTTAAAGATTTTAAAATAAAGCTTGTTTTTCTCTTCTTTGACCT